GTCGCGGCGCTAAGGGTGTATCCGCTTACAGTGGTATCAAAGGTGATCAAGGCGATCCTGGATGGCAGGGACCACCCGGCTACAATGGACCCATGGGCTTTAAGGGCCAACGGGGTGAACCAGGCGATTCTATGCCCGCCTCTGATGGTTTGCCAGGCCCCAAAGGCGAGGTTGGTACGCCTGGTCGCAATGGTTTGCCCGGCTTGCACGGTCTGAAAGGTCAACGTGGTGATACTGGATATCCTGGCCAACCAGGAATTGTTGGTGATCAAGGTGATGATGGTCCAAATGGATATCCCGGACGCAATGGCCTTGACGGCCTTAAGGGTGAGGCCGGAGAAATAGGCCTCACTGGATCACCTGGAGAAATTGGAGATATTGGCGATGTCGGCTATCCAGGTCAACATGGAATACAGGGTGATGAAGGACTACCGGGTGAATATGGTCAAATTGGCAACAGAGGCGAAATCGGAGACCGTGGTGATATCGGTGATGCTGGTGAGGTAATTTATATTGGCTCCCAAACTGATATGCGAGGTCCGCCTGGAGATAATGGATTGAGAGGAGCTCAAGGGCCAACGGGCCCGCCTGGCATGATTGGAGCTATTGGTTACCCTGGTCCACGTGGAGAACGGGGTGATATCGGATTCGAGGGTCCTGCTGGATTTGATGGTCTACCAGGCCCGAAAGGTGAGCAAGGAGACAAGGGCTTACGAGGTTTGATCGGCGAAAGACTCAACGCCGAACCTGGTGAAGAAGGTGACATTGGCTACGATGGCCTGCCTGGACGTCCGGGCACTCCTGGCCAGAAGGGTGCACCTGGTGAGCAGGGTGAATACGGCTTAAATGGAGCGCAAGGACCACAGGGACCAATGCTCATCGGACCCCAAGGTCCGCCCGGAGATTATGGCTATCAAGGCATACCTGGACGTAATGGTCTGCACGGCATGAGGGGAAGAAAAGGAGAGCGTGGCGACACTGGACGCAAAGGTGAAATTGGTGAAACTGGCTTCAGCATTTGGGGTCAACAGGGTGACATAGGTGAAAGAGGTCGGCAAGGTGTGACCGGGTTAAATGGCGCAAAGGGCGAGGAAGGTGCCAGTGGGCGACCAGGCCGCACTGGCCCAGTCGGCCCACGCGGACCACGCGGCCCACTTGGCGATGCAGGCTGGAATGGCATCGATGGTGTTGATGGACTACCAGGCGAAAAAGGTGAACCAGGTGTTACCTATTCGTACACTTACGCCCGACCCGGCGATCGTGGCGAGCCCGGCCTGGATGGCTTCAAGGGTGAGCGGGGCGATATTGGACCACCTGGCTTGCATGGAGCAGCGGGTCTCCGTGGCATAGTTGGCTATCGAGGTGATGATGGCGAGATGGGCTACCAAGGACCCGACGGCGTTAAAGGCCAACGCGGCGACATTGGCGAAATGGGTCTAAGAGGACGCGTGGGTCTACGCGGTCTGCCTGGCCCACAAGGTGACCCAGCTCCACCACCACCTCCACCTAAGAGCCGTGGCTTCATTTTCGCCCGACATTCGCAATCCGTTAATATACCCGTGTGTCCAGCTAATACAAATATGCTGTGGGAGGGCTATTCGCTGTCTGGCAATGTGGCTAGCAGTCGCGCTATCGGCCAAGATTTGGGACAATCCGGCTCTTGTCTTATGCGCTTTACCACCATGCCCTACATGTTCTGTGACTTCAACAACGTTTGCAACTATGCTCAGAACAATGACGACAGCTTGTGGCTATCCACAGCTGAGCCCATGCCCATGTCCATGACGCCTATCCAATCCAGAGACCTCATGAAGTACATTTCACGGTAAGCAGGGAGTAGACTACGGTTAACTATAGCAGACTCATAAGTTTACCAACTCTCTAGCTGTGTCGTTTGCGAGACTTCAACGCGCGTGATTGCCCTGCATTCGCAATCCATGTCCATTCCAGATTGTCCAGGTGGCTGGGAAGAGATGTGGACAGGCTTCAGTTACTATATGGTAAGTATAAATATCTAGATTCCCATCTCAATATTAATGACTTTTGTATTGCTTAGACGACCTTGGATAATACGGGTGGTGTTGGCCAAAACTTGGTCTCACCCGGCTCCTGCTTGGAGGAATTCCGTGCCAATCCTGTCATCGAATGCCATGGCCATGGACGTTGCAATTATTATGATGCTTTGGCCTCCTTCTGGCTAGCCGTTATCGAGAAACAGGATCAGTTCCTGCAGCCACGCCAGCAAACCCTAAAGGCTGACCAAACCAGCAAAATTAGCAGGTATGTGACTTTGATTGGAACTAGAGTTAGCAACTGTAGCGTATTATTTTTCCTTCAGATGTACTGTGTGTCGCCGTCGTGGCGATAGCTTCTACACTGTCAAGCGGACTTCTGCATCCCAGTCCAGTTATAGCTCCGGCTCCAACTCGGGCTACAGCACGGGTTACAACACTGGCTCCAACTCTAGAGACAACTCTGCCTTCAGATCGGGCTCCAGCTGGGCAACTAATGCTGGCGTAGACTCCAATTCGGGTGCAGGCTCGAGATCTGGTGGCTTCAACTCTGGCTCTGGCTCCAATGCCGGCTTTAGTTCGAACTCCTGGTCAACAGGAGGCAGACAGCAGCCACCAAACTCCTACTCCACATGGTCAGGTGGCTATCCAGCAGCGGAATATCGTACGCAACCACAAACTTTGCGTCAGCCACAGCCACTGCCGCCAACGGGCCAATACAATCGTCAACAAACCTATCGTAATCCATATCAATACGGCGGAGTTCGCCAAAATCGTCGCTATCCGCGCGATGATACTTACGCTCCTTAGATCCACAGCTCCGATTACATACTAAGTAGCAGTAAAATAATAAATAATTATATCTAAGTCGCTAACACTACCCCAAATAGAACGAGATACCAATACCCTGCGCAGTGCCATTTTTTTCGAAAGATCGCTGGGTAAAGATCTATAAATCGAATCGAACAAAATAAAACCAATTTACAAAATATTTGTCTGTCGAGCGGAGGCAAAGCTACTATAACAACCCACTGCCCCAATATAGAATTCAGTTCATATCTTGTATTTAGGGATTACAAGTTAACACACACACACACACACATACACAAAGCGAACAGAACCCAGTTTTTAAAATAATAAAAATTTAAACGTCTTAAAAGTAATGTGAACTATTTATTCATACCTTAAAGCAGTTTACTACTCTTTTATGTAACTCAGTAAGAGTTCCGTTAACTACCAGTGAATTAAGAGTATTATTTTAGCTATAACTATAAGCTTTGCAAGCTCAACACCAGCAGCTCTTCTAAGCAACTAAAATAAATACAAGCATTCGCCGTTAGGACTAAGTATTCCTCAATCGTGATCAGCAGCAACAACAGCTTTACATCTACAGAAGCGGCTCATAAGAGGTACTGCAAGCTGTTTAGTAAAAGATCATGTGGCGAAAGCTCTTGTTATAAGTTGTTTGCTGTTAACGAATAGATGCTGGTTACGTTAAATAAATAATGCCACCATTTAGGGATATTCGAAAATCTCGATTTCAATGCAAAGCCATTGAAAATTTTGGCGCTCAACAGCTACATATATTTGCTAATATCAGCCATTAACAAGTGTTAACTGTTTCTGTATTTTTGAGTATTGCATAATTTGATATAAACTATATAAAACAAAGTGCATACACTAATACGGTTTTTAATTATACATATATAAAACATACCCCGATGCCCTTTCAAAACACTTTCACTCATTATCATTATTTATACTATATAGCTTTGTAGATGACACAGATACACATAAGAGCAGTAATACAGCAGATAAATTGGTAGATAAACAAATATACTATTTTACGTAACGCAGAGACAAGATATAGTTTAGTTAGGTTTTATTAATAACTAAATATCCACGCGTCCAGTTCCATTTGTATTTCTTCAATCTTCGTTTCGTTATAGTTTTTTGGTGTTGTTCTAGTGGATGACAGATGGCGCTTCACCTGAACCGTCTCTGGAATTCGCGGGGAACTACTATTATTTAACAAAGTCGGGATTCTCCTGGACACTGTCAGTGAACTGCAGTTGATTGTCGATGATTTGGAATAACACTTCAGGTGCAGGAAAACGGCCTGTTTGTATTTTCGACCAAACGGGCACATCATTTAATGTTATCTCAAAGGCCCCGGAGGAAATGAGTTGCCCTTCGATCATGTTGCCCAGGAAGAAGATCATCATACAGGCATATATTTTGTTTGATTGCAAATGATTCCACCAGCCAGGCGTGTTGAAGCCCAAACAGGTGAAGGGACTCACCGAAGTTACCACAGATATTATAATAATTATCTTTAAAGCAAATATTATCTTCGACAGGTAATAATTTATGCCGGGCGGATCGTAATTGGCGCCCACAATCTCAATCTGTGGATACTTCTTAACCAGTATATTTACATAGTCCTCGAACGCCTTGCGATAGCCACATGAATAGCTAAACGATGGACAAACATAATAAATTAGACATAATTAATGGTAATTAATTTTGGAACTCACCAATAAAGAAAAGTCATTGTCGGTGCCACCCTCTGACCGAATTTGGTGGCCGGTATTTCCTTGCCCTCAAAGGCCAGCGCGTAGCAGGCGCACAGGCACAGTACAAGCAGCGCTAGATTTCTACCATTTGCTGACTCCATTTCACGTGTTCTAGTTGTAAAACCTTAGTTGCAAAGCAAAATTAGCAGTAACCGAAAAAAAATTTTACTTTTTATCTTCTTCTCAGTTTGCCATTCAGTCGTATTTATGAATGATAGTAGAGCCTATCGATACATCGATTGGTGTGATACTATAAGCGATTGCTATCGAATGAAGTATTAGATGTGATAATTTAAAAGGCTGAATATATTTTGAATGAATTTCATTTATCAGTACACAGTAAAATCGTTGCTGGGTTGATACTCATACAATTTTGAATGCATGTATTAATAAATCACTCTCTCCTCAATTCGTTATGCTGTTTGAACTCAGCGCTTGTCATGCGACTTGATCGTGTATGGCATCGCATGAACAATCAGCTGTTGTGACATAACCTACGTGAATCCCAAAATGCTGCGCCGTGTAAATAACAATAAATAAAATGTAATAAATTTGTATTAAAACTATTATATTTAATATTTACAGCTATTGCCGAGTGCGCGAGTAGCACTGCAAGTGTCAAAGCCAGTGGTGATTGCGACTAGATGTAATACTTACAGTGTATATGAGCCGGACTACCTCGAGGTTTTTTAATGAAATATGAATTTAAATAAATAGATTATTAAATGTAAACTTATTTTGCAGTCCCTTAAGCCCAAGTTCCCGCAATACGAAAGCCTCAATGTACAGATAAAGGGCTACGATTACCCACTTCTCGAGAGCTATCAACGATTCCTCCACGGTGTGGCGGAGTACCTCGATTTGGATGTCTCCGACTGCTATGCTTTGCCCCCACAGCAGACACAGGTGCAACGCCTGCGACCCAATTCGACGGTCATTGAGTCCGAGTACAAGTTGACCACCTATGAACGCAGCCTACTGCTGAACAACGTGGATGCACCGGTGTATCCACAATTTCTAAGGATTGCACAAGCGGCGCTTCCGGAGGGCGTTCATCTGACGGTGTCGGAGCATACAGATGAGCATGATGAACGACGCTATGTGCCCGATAAGGATCTACTCGATCTCAAGGCGGAGCTGGAGCGCATGGGTGGCGCCACGCCCAATAAGAAAAAATAATCTGCACACATTTGTCATTTGGCAAAAACATTTAAAAACTAGTTTTTATTTTATTGAATAAATCTGTAAAAATTGTAGAAGGGAAACATGTTTAAAATAGAAACTTTTCCTATTTAAAGCTTTGCACTAAGTGGACGGCAACGTTTACACATGGAAGACGAATTCTTAACTATTTAAACTAATAAAATTGCACTACGTAAAAAACGCTTAGACAACGCCAAAGTGTACAACTTTGATGGAGGACGAAGAGCTGGACGTCGGTTTGCTGTTGCTGGATGGCTCCTCCTCGCCCCTCCTTCTCGTTGGCGGCTTGCTAACATCTGTAGAAAATTATACGTAAGCTAGATGAAACTATATATATGCCTTGATTTTACTCACTCGTTGTAATGGGATTGAAATCCTTTAAGTACTCATCATTTGGATGACACAGTGGTAGACTATCCGCCAGTTCCTTGCGAGGATTAGTCAAGTGTCGCGCTGCAGGGCGTGAATAGCCATTGCGTTTCGGTGGCAACGGTTTCTCTTTACGTGGTATCTCCTAGCGAAAGAAAACAGAAAGCTTTAACTGGGAGCTATTTAGTGTATGTGTAAGACTTACCGGCACAACAGCCACCTGAATGGTGTCCGAGAACTTGACTTTGTTTTTTTCCACCGGCGTGCTCTTCACATTGGGCGTGTCGCCATTGTGCAGCGGAGTCGCTGCTGCTGCATTTGAGAGTATGGAAGCTGTTGGCTTTTTAAGTAGCAAACGCTTTTGATGCTCCTCATTACCAAGCGCCGGCAGCATGGCTGGTATGTTGCCAGAGACAAGCGGATGCTGATAAAACTTGGGCTGATGATATGGCAGAGTCAACTGTGAGCCGGGCTGTGAAACTTGCTGTGTGCCAACTTGTGATGTGAGCTGTGAACTTTGCTGTAGATGCACAGGCGAACTGGCCGGCAACGACAAGGGCAACGGCAGACCCACTGTCTGATCCGGTACATCCTGCGACCAATCTGTGCCTGCAAGAGGGAACCTATCAATATAACAAATTTAGTATAGAATAAAGTTGAGCTATTTACCATTCAAAGTAGTTTGCTTAGGCGCTGCTTGGCTGCCGCCTTTTGTGGCTGTATTCGCCGTGGGTCCACTCAGCTTTGGCGTCCGCAGTTCCATCAATGCTGGCCGCAGCTCAGGCTTAGGTATATTAATCTTAATCATTTCAGCATTAAAAATCTTTGATTTAAACGAAGGCAAGGGTGGCACATAGTTTTTCAGAGCAGTCGGCTGACTGGGCGTCGTATAGCTCAACTGTGAGCAAACAGAATCCGGACGTAATTCGCTGGCCATAGTCGAGCTGAAATTGCCCTGATCATCGCCATGAATAATAGCAGCAGCTTGTCCAAAAGCAACCTGAGCAAATTCACTCAAGCTTCCAATGCATTTGGTCAGATTATAAAGGTCCATGAATAGATCGTAATCCGCTATGTCATGGGCTATTTCAAAGGCTTCGCTGAACAGATTCTTACTATGGAACAGAGGACAACAAATCAGATTAAAATATTTAATATTTTTTATATTCAGCTGCGACTCACCGCATCAAAAAAAAGCAAAAGCGACGCTTTAGATCATAAACCTGGTCACTGAACTCATCCTTTGTATCCTCAGAGAGCGTGTCAGCGAACGTGCTCAAGGCTCTGGCCATTAGATCGCAGCGAGGTCGTCGCTGATCAGATGAGAAGAAAACATAGTTCGCAATCTTGTGCAGCGTGATCAGACACATGGCTCCATAGGTCTCCCAGTTGAGAGAGGCAAGCACATTGACCGCTCGCTCTGGCTGCTGCAAGCGCAGATACTTGTCCGCAATGACATCAGCCGTCAATCCTGAATTGTGAATATCGCCACGCATGCCGGCGCCGCCAAAGAAGCGCAGGCAGGCCAACGGACCTTGCTCGTACAGCAAGAGTAGCAGGCAATCCGTTTGCGCATAGTTGTGAGAGAAGTTAGCCAAGTCCGGCTTGCGGCTGAAGGCTATGCTGAGAAGCGTCGGCTGTGCGGCAAAGTAGTGCGAGAGGTCCAGCAGATTAGTCGGCGTTACGCTCTCACTCAGCAGCTGGTTGCCAATGGGTGACAGGGCCAAGTCGAAGCACTGCAGCACGGATCGCTCATTGGACACACAGAGCAAAGCTGAATCGCAATGCCAAGCACATTGCGTTGGCACAATTTCGATTTGCTTAACATATTTGGTTGTCTGCAGCACCAAGTCGTGCAAGCATATATTCCGATCGATGCTGCCCAGGAAGAGCTTCTCCTGATCCGGACTGAAGGCAAAGCAACAGATCTGTGTGCCCATTGCAATTGAGGTAATTGCAGTGCGCTGCATTTTGCCCGTTGCCAATTCATAGGAGCAGATCTCAGCGCTGATCTCACCCTTGCGGGAAACTTTCTGCTCCAATGTGATGATTTGATTCTCTGAGCTGCGCAAAAAGTCCACGCAAAGCGGATCATTCTCCGACCAACAATAGGCCAGCGATTCCAGTTGCAAGCTGCAAAGTAATTTGAATCAATTAAAAAGCAGAATAAATTAAACTGATCTGTTGATTACGCTTTCAGTTTAAATATGTGTATATTGGCACGATCCTGATCCCGAATAGTGGGTCGCCAGGGATACACTTCGTTCTGCGAGGATTGTGTCCAGACCACAAATAAATCTCTGCTGCCATTTACAGTTAGATGACGTGCTAATTTACGTTCAGATGCGAGACCCGGTATAATAACATGAAATATACGCGGCTCCATATTCGCGATTTTCTCCGGACCGAGGGGTCGAGCATTGGGTCGCTGCAAATGCACCACTGTCAGCTGGTTGGTATTGTAGGCCAACACGATGTGGGAGCGTGTAAAAAAGGCTGGCAAAACACGGCAAAAAATAGAGACAAGACAAAGTGCATAAACAAAACATGAGCATTAATTATAAATTACAATAATTGCATGTGGAATGTGCAGCTGCTGTAGCTGCAGTTGCAGCGACTGCGGCTGCTTTTGTTGTTGCGCTGTGAGAAAGTCGTTAAAAATGCAAATTTCTCCAAGCAAAGCACACGCACAACTACAAAACAACTTCACAATTCACTCACCATCGGTGATCAGGTCCCCAGCCAGCTTGCCAACGAGATATTTGTCAAATACCATGCGTAATATATCGCCCGTATAGATATCCACACAGATGTGAGCAATGACTCCATTGTCGAAGAGCAGCAGCACCTGCGCTGCATCCTGCCACTCGGAGTGCGTTAGCTTGTGTGTGCGCAGCAGATCCTCCAATTTTTTTAGATTATCCTTTAGGCGGCCGCCAGCCTTGCGGCTGTTCTTCAACACCGCCAAACCATTGCGGCGCTCCGTATAGTCGCGCTTTGACTGCGCCCTAAGCTCCTGCGAAAGCTCGCGTTGGCGCTGATATCGGAAGGCGCCGAAATCGCTGCACTTGATGCGCACTTCGTCGCGCTGCGTTGTCCAGAAGTGCAGCTCGCTGAGCAGCATTGCAGCGCGCTTAAAGCATGGCCTCAATTGTCAACGCAAATGGAAATTAACATTCAAATCTGGGGTGTGGACCACAAATGAGTGTCGACGATTACACGAACCAGGGCAAAACCGAGTTTGAGGCCAAGCGAATGGCGCATGCGCAACGTTTTTCAGCAATCTTGAACAGCACTATTTTAACTATAACCAAAATGTCACTTATTTTGCGTGTTCAAATTTCGTAAATAGTTAAAATTTGTATTTTGTTTTTAGCAAAAATACGACGCAAGCAAACGTAAACACTGAAAATTGGAGTTTTAGTGATGCGATCACTTGTTGCCGTTTGATATCGATAGATGTTATCGATGTGCGAAGCAACTAACAGCGACTAATTTTAAAAGTGCTGTTAACAATTAACAGATTGCGCATGCGCAGCGTTTTTAAGCAACTTTTAATGTCAATTTATATAATTTGTTTGTAAATAGTTTTGGAACAACCAACAATATTAGCTACAGTATAAATTCCAAACTTAGTTTTTTTTTTTATAGTATTGATCAGTGGTTGCGGTTTGCGCTCGTTGCTGATGGCGCCAATATTTAAAAATATGAATGCTAACTTTTGTAAGCAAGGACACATATAACCTTGAGTGAATTTGCAATCATTTGGCTCTTAGTTAACTTCAATTCCTATTGACCAGCAACGCTCAAGATAAGTCGGGGTCTATGCTTTTTAATCTAACTACAAGTTAACTTAACATTTATTATTATTTATTGCCCCTGGAGATCGGTGGTCAAACGTGTTGCACTATGCGCGATATTTCGTAGACATAGCGTTAGATTAGATTAGGCAAAGCACTTAAACGAATACCCATTTATTAGTTATAAACAATGTTTATTTTAAAACAAAAATTTTTATTTATTGATTTCACCATTCAATTAAGATTGTTATCAAATATTCACAGTACTTTTCTTTCGTTCTTTGCTCGGTTCTTTTTTTTAATTTTTAAAAAATTAAATACGATTAAAGGCACTATAAAATATATAGTGGCATTATATATGTATATATAATAATCACTAAATAAACAGCAACGTATCGTTAAGTAACTAAATGTATTAATGAATAACTAAAATATATATCGCATTTGAGAAAACTTAACACAACAAATTACGTATACGCTGCGTGCATACCGATATTTTTCCTTCGTTTCTTTTTTAAATTTGTTTCAATAAGATTAATTTACATGTGTACATAATTATAATATATATATATATATATATGACGGCAAATTTGCGCGCCTAATGACTGCGATCCCTTGTCATTACTACAGATTGTGCTTACTTAAACCTAGAAACTAGGAAGGCAACGAGATAAACTATATTATAAGCAGTTTGTTACATATGCCTTTATATACACATATAACGTTTCTCACATTCATCTTTTCTTCAACTATAATGTACATGATAAATATATATTTATATATGTGTGTTTATTTTTGTTTGGAAGTATGCTAAAACTCTATATACATGTGAATTTATATATCAAAATATCAATCCTTGTTTTTAGTTATATATTTAATTTTTAACTAATTAGCCT